TTTGAGTAGGAGGAAGAACTTTGAGTGTCCAATAAACTCATGGTATGTTCTCAAGCATTTAATGAGAGAGCATTTTGTTCCCAAGTGTTTCTATAAGTTGAGATCTCTGCGACAAGGTAGCAATAGCGTGGAGGCTTACTACATGGAGATGCAAATGTTGCTTGAGGAGCTTGATCTTTATGAGGATGAGGAAGTTACAATGGTTCGTTTCTTAAGAGGACTCAAGACGGAAATTGCCGAACGACTTGATCTTCAATTTTATGAGGATTTAGAAGGGATGGTGCAAATAGCCATAAAGATTGAGAAACATCTCCAAAGGAAGTCTACAAGGTATACTAAACCTAAACCATTTTCTAAGATTCATTTATCTWTAGAGAATTTTAGTTTACCAACTAACATTAAGCCTATTGTTGAGGTAGAATGTGATCAAATTCAAGAAGACATAGTTTGTGACCTAGTGCCACATGCTGATAGTGTTTTATTTAGTAGRCAACTAGATTGCAATKAATTGTTTGATTGTAACACTTCTACTATTGTAACACCTACTCYTCAAGAYGTATATGATGTTGTGTGYGAGTTRRGGAAAAAGGCGAATGAGGTCGAGACAAAAGCATGTGAATTGTTTGAAAAAGAATCTTGTGTGAGAGAAAAGCATGAGATTAGTCTATGGCCTAAAGAGAAAAATGAGAGAAAAGCCAAGAATGTAAGCTTGTTTGAAAAAGTTTGTCATGTCAACTATGTTTCATTTTCCAAACAAAACATTCTTGATCTTTTGTACAAAGGTGTTTGTTATCTAACGGGAGAGCTTAAACCATGTTGGTCTAGTGTTTCCCTTGAGTTTTTACARGAGGCTAGAACACTCATTGAGAAGATTGAACCAAAGAATGCTGCCAAAGTACACAATGGCAGCCAACATGTGGTTTACAAGGCTGAAGCATCTCGTGAGAAGCAAAAGTCAAAATTTGTTTCTAAATTCATTCATGGCAGGAAGCATACAATGTTCAAACCGGCTTATTGGGTTTGGAAACACTATTGGAAGGATCGATTTTTTGTTGGCAAGAAGTTGAAGAGGAACCCATGTAGAGATATACACTTGACTTTTGATGATTTTAAGAKTGCTCTACAYGGYGAGTTTGAWRAAGATTACATATTCAATGCTGCTGATTTTCGTCCATTTGATGTAGGAGATCCTTTTGATTCGAGGACGAATCCTTTTGAAGAAAGGGAGGACAAGAATCTCCCTTCTAACATTCTTGTTATCAACAACAATAAGTCATTAATGCTACGCCCACAATAGTTGAAACAATAGAATTGGTGTATTACCTTAAGGGATGCATTTTTCTGCACAATACTACTTGCCTACAAGAAAACGATTAGGTCACCTAAATTAGACATGCGTCAAAAGGATAAGAACAAGTAAGCTAAATAACAATCTTACCTTCACTTCAATAACGTCGTCTTCTATTCCTCCTTTTGTATCCTACCCTCCTATTTCTTCTTCCATTATTTTATCTTCTTTTTCTCCTGTTTCTAATTCCCTTTTATTTTCTGCTTTTTCTCCTTCCTTGCTATCCTCTCATGTTTCTCCTTCCTTCATCTTCTCCTCTTTTTCTCGTTCCATTGTCTCCTGCACCTTACTATCACATATTGTCGAAGCATTTTTTTTATATTTCGCCAATTCCTCTTCCAACTCCTTAACCCTCTTGGCGTACCTCTCTTCGAGATTCGAACAAACCTTCTCCTCTTCCAACTTAGATGTTGACCGTTTTGTTGGTTTATGAAAGTATTGAGTCTTCATTACAGACTTACCCACACCCACAAGTCGTCCAGTACGGTCTCGAGTACCCAAAGCAAGTGCTAGTGCATCTTCTTCTGTAGAGTTATTGCAATCATCTTGACATTGTGTACCTTTTATCTCCTCCTATATTTGTAGAATGAGATTCAAATAAGTAAAAGATGGATCGGTTTAGCAATATAATCACGCTTCGATACATACCATGCGTTCGACTACGACTCTAGTACATTCCTCCCCGATATTTCCATCTTTATCCATACGCACTTTTGACTGGCGGTTTGCTGAACGCACACACTAAGCGTGTTAGCAATTATATAGATGCAAGCGCACACCTGTCAGAGTAATACAAAATGGATGGAGTATCCAAGTATCGATCCTCAAGGACTTCTAAATAATTTCCAAACTCTAAAGTTTTAAAGAATAGTGAATGTTGAAATGAGTGATTCTTGTAAAATGGGAAGTGGTCACAAATAATGGTTTTGGATTTGGGATTTGGACTTATAATGATAAAACCTAGCCCGAATTACTTCAA